TGAAAAGTGCGTTGAAGCTAACACCAAAAACGAGAACAAAAATTTTGTTTGTCGTTCTGTCATCATTATATTTACCATTATTAGTTCACGAAAACTTTCGCTAAACGCACTGATGACCAGCGAGAGAATGATAATAAGAACAGTCGTAAGGGGATGACGGCTTTGCGTTCTACAGTGAATTACAATAAAGTGGATAGGCATAGAATGGAACGAGTTCGGGCGCATCGATCATAACAGCAGCGCGCATGAAATCCATAAGGTATAAGGGAATGAGGTAGTGAGAGATATAAACAACTGCTATTTTACTCAACTGTCCTATGATGGAGTAATGGAAGCATACCGGATGAAAAGATGGCGGCAATAAACCGAAGATTGGGTTGATGACCGGTTTATAAAGCCGAAAAATCTGTAACAATTGGGTAAATGTCAATAATTTGTCGACATTGTAAAGCTGGCTTGTCTCAGCCTACATGCCGCACGACGACGAGGTGGAACCACCTCCGAACTTGCTGAGGATGGCTTTGGCAGAGGCCAGACGCAAAGGAGCCGCGGTTCTAATTTGATCGGATGCCAACTCAAGGCACACCGTCTGGGGGAGCACGGATACAAACGCAAGAGGTGAGTCACTTTTTGATTTCATTTGTGATGTAGACCTTTTTATCTGTAATAGGGGAAACTGCCCTACTTTTGTGACAGCTAGCAGGGCGGAAGTCCTTGATGTCACGCTAGCCTCTAGGGAAATTGCTCCCTTGATCTCGAAATGGAGAGTTCTAGACGACCACTCCTTTTCTGATCATAAATATATTGGGTTTAGCTTGGACGCCTCGCGCCCGAAGCATAGAACCTACAGAAACTTCAGGAATACCAATTGGGTCCTGTATTGCAGGAAGCTTCGATCAGCTCTCCCAACCGCGCCTGACAGGGATTCGATCCTATCTGCGGACGCGATTGAGGAGCTCGTCGAGGTTTTCCGCTCTGTCAGCAGATCTGCTCTTGAAAGCTCCAGACCTCTGAAAACTCAGAAAAGTAGAGGGAAACCCCCTTGGTGGACTTCGGAGCTAACGGAGATCAGATCTTCGAGTAGACGACTCTTCAATAAAGCCCGTAAAAGTGGCTCTAGCGACGACTGGGCGTTGTACAAGGCCGGATTGGCCATTTACAAGTCCGACTTGAAGAAAGCCAAGAGGGCTTCGTGGAAAGCCTTCTGCGACAGTGTAGAGGGTTGTCACGATTCCTCAAGGTTTAGACGCATTCTTGCGAAAAATCCTACTCCGGTGGGGTATCTAAGAAATGCAGATAGCGGGTGGACTACGAGTAGCATGGAGTCGCTGAGGTTACTCCTAGATGCTCATTTTCCACAAAATCGCTTTGCTGAAGAAGTGCCACTGGGGGAGCTTCAGGAAGGCTGTACAGCCTTCTTGGACCTTCTGAATGAGCGTCATCTTACCTGGGCGCTGAAATCTTTTAAGCCCTTTAAGTCCCCGGGTCCTGATGGCATCATACCGGCGCAACTACAGAGAACGGTTAAGGTGTCATGCAGCTGGCTGGCCCCTATCTACGCGAACTGTGTTAGATTGGGCCATGTCCCGAAGGCCTGGAGACAGGTTAAGGTTGCGATTATTCCGAAGGCCGGTAAAAGCTCTCATGTCGGTGCAAAAGATTTCAGACCCATCAGCCTATCCTCGTTTTTGTTAAAAACGCTGGAGAGACTTATGGATCTGCACATCAGGTGCAGAATACCGAGGGGTAAACTGTTACGAGCGCAGCATGCCTATATCAAGGGCAGGTCGGTCGACACTGCTTTGCATGATGTAGTGTCATGGCTGGAGACAGCGCTATTGCAAAAGGAATTTGCAGTGGGCACCTTTCTCGACATCGAGGGGGCCTTCAATAACGTTCGGCCAGAGGCAGTGGTTAAAGCCCTCGAAAAGTTTGAAGTGGAATCGAACCTCAAACACCTCATTTTCAGTCTTCTCTGCGACAGAACAGTCGTAGCGGAGTGGGGTAGTGCTAAGTCAACCAGAAAGGTAAATAGGGGAACTCCGCAAGGAGGAGTACTCTCCCCTCTGCTCTGGATCTTGGTTGTAAACGACCTACTTATAGAACTCGAGGAGCAAGGCTGTCGAGTGATAGCCTATGCTGATGATGTGGTTCTTATGGTTAAAGGTAAATTCCTGAATACCGTCTATGAGCTCACCGAAGGGTACCTAAACGTGGTATCCAACTGGGCAAACAGAAGCGGCCTAGCCGTCAACCCAAGTAAAACCGAAATGGTTTTATTCACTAAGAGGTATAAGATCCCAAATGTGCCTCTCCTCTCCTTCGGGGGTTCACGTCTTCAACCCGTTGATAAGGTGAAATACCTAGGGCTCATCCTGGATAGACAGCTTTCTTGGAGGCCGAACATCGAGGAGAGAGTCAAGAAGGCATCGGTCGCCTTATACTGCTGCAGGGGAGCTATAGGGAAAAGGTGGGGACTCTCACCAAAGGTGGTGTTCTGCCTCTACGAAACCGTAGTCAATCCAATACTGTTCTATGGTGTGTTCGTCTGGTGGAAGGCGCTCAAAAAGACTACCCTGGCTAAAAAGCTTGAGCGAGTTCAAAGAGCGGCGCTCATCGGAATCTCCGGTGCACTGCGAACCACACCAACGATAGCTCTCAACGCTATATTAAATATAGCACCCGTGGACATTGCCGGTAGGTGCATTGCTGCGAGGTGTGCTATTAGGCTCAGAGAAGCTGGGCTTGTGAAGAGGTCCGAACAAGGACACGCCGCAATTCTCTCCTCCTTCACCTGCATTCCTGAAAATTTGGATCACTGCGTCACGGAGGCCTCTCGAGGCGGCTTTTTCTCTGCTGATATCCCGACGAGGGAGATGTGGAGGGGAAGAAGCCGCTGGAAAAGAGACGCGGTGAGTTTTTTCACGGATGGGTCGAAGCTAGGAGGGAAAGTTGGAGGGGGGGTTTTCTGTAAAGAGCTCTCCGTCAATCTTTGCTTCAGGCTACCGGACCACTGTAGCGTTTTTCAGGCGGAAGTGGCCGCGTTCAAGGTGGCGGTAGAAGTACTGTTACGTAGTGTAGCTTCGTTTAGAGAGGTGAGCATTCACTCCGACAGCAGAGCGGCAATACAAGCCCTGAGTGCGCGAACCGTGCATTCAAAGCTAGTCAAGGAGTGTCTGTCCTCGCTAGAATTAGCATCAGGCTACTTCAATATCAGGCTCGTTTGGGTGCCTGGTCACAGCGGAATCGCTGGGAATTGCAAGGCCGATGAGCTGGCCAGGGGGGGTACCCTTGCCCCGCTCACATCGGAATGGGATCGAGTTGGTTCTCCACTAACGTCTTGCATTCTCGCTCTGGACCAATGGACCTCGCAGGAGCTCAGCAGACGCTGGTCGGCGACCAGCTCCTGCGCGATCCTTCTGGCCGAGAGTGGAGCGCAGGAGGTCGGGGGATCTTCTCGCCTTGAACAAAGTTCACCTCGCCGCCATGGTAGGAGTGCTCACTGGGCACTGTCCAATGGGAACTCATGCGGTGCGGCTTAGAATACTACCCGATGGCAGTTGTCAAAGCTGTATGGAGGAGGGTGAAGTGGAAACATCCCGGCACTTTCTCCTCCATTGTCCGGCTTTTGCTAGGTTGAGATTGAAACATCTCGGCAATCATACTTTTGGCGGTCCAGAAGATCTGGCCGAAACAGATATTGGCCATCTCAACAAGTTTGTCATAGGCACAAAGCGCTTTGTCGACATGTAAGGGTCTATTGATCCGGCTCATAGGAGTTTTGGGTACCACAACGAACCGGCGTTTAAGCTGTCCAAGTGTGATCCTTCTTAGGATCGACCCGCTAACCTAACCTAACCTAACCTAAAGCTTAAAATACAGATGTGAATCTGTAGGATTGTTGTTGTTGACACTGCTGTGGCTGGTTGTACAGTTAATTAACGTAAAGCTTTTTTATAAACTATATTTTTTGCCTTTTTTTGCGGTGCGAAATTCACCGAGTCATAAAGTAACTTATAAATATTATTTTAATTATATTAGGTATAGTAAAAATAAATCCGATCGGGTTCGGCTAGATGGCGTTAGGAAGATGACATTTCGGACTAAAAAAGCTTTTTTGACAGTTTTGTAATTGGTTGATTCAGTTTTGTTAGAGCGCACGTCAAAAATGAACACTAGCAAAGCGAAAATAGCTATATTGTACATTGTGTCTTCGATAAGGACTAAAACGCAAGCCAGGCGGCTGAAAATGTGTAACAGTCAATCATGCGCAATTTTGGTTTCGTCGATAACGTTCCGGTAATTTCGATGTCAAAGATGCACCACGCTCTGGAAGATCCGAAAAGACATGACGACGATTTCAAATTCAATTCAATGGTCATGCCTCCTCGGATTCGAAGAAGTGCGCGAGCTATTTCAGCCGGCAATTCACACTGCACTTTTCGGCACTTTTACCGAGGGGAAATTTCAGAGTGTCATCAACAAGGTTCGTCTAAACCCATTGGTCCTGATGGAATAAACATGCTGATGCTAAAACATTTAGGCTCGACGGGAGTAAGCTATCTCCCCAAGGTCGATAACTCTCTTTTCTCCAGTAGTGAAGACACTTGAGACCTTGCTACTCCCGACATTCACTCACTACCTGAGCCCAGCAGACCACCAGCATGGCTTTCGAAAAGTGCACAGCACCACCACAGAACTAAATCCACAGCGCCATATTCACGAACCGGGCGAAGTAGTACAGATTGGATCTTACCATTAAAGTCGATGGCATTAAAATTCCGGCTGTCAACAATTTTAAGAATTTTGGTGTAAAACTAGACAGGCTCATTCGCTGCATAAGACAGCCAAAATATAGAGCCGCAACAAAATCCTCAAGTACCCACCCAAGCAGAGATTAGATCATCGCTACAACAACCGAACTTGGGAAAAATGTCGATCTTAATTATTAAAATTAATATGTTAATAAGCATTGCTTAAAAACTGCATCTCAACAATAATTTTATGAAAGGCAAGTAAATTTTATTCGAAAAGTGTGTTTTAATAAAGTATTAAATGAACAAATATTATTGTGGAGACCTCTTTGGAATAAATTATACATAATACAAGACGGTTGCGTATAGCAAATTTTCATGTTCGTTGCTCAGCGACTGGTATCGCAAGATTGTTAAGTAATCGCCACTACGCCAAGTAGCCGAAATAAGTTTTGGAATATAAATTTTTAGCAATTTTAAAAAAATGTGCATTAAATTAAGTACTTCTTCGCGAAATAGAAAGTATGTGATCACTGCGTTGGTATTATAATCTAACTTATATGCTCATTTCATTTTGTGCAATAAAGGTTTGATAGCCAGTACTTTATTCACAGCTCTGTAAATATGTTAAAGTGTGTAGGGTAAACAGTAAAACACATGCAAAAAATGCCAGCAGATATTTTTTGATTTCCAAAATAATACAAGTATGAATATACCTTCAAATCCTGCACATACTTCAAGAATTCTTTGAAATTAAAATTAAAGATTTAATATGTCAGGAACGATGGAGGAGCTGCCTCGGGGGGGGCATCCTGCGAAAATGAGAGACATGTTAGGTATCCTATATGTTTAACTGTATTCTCGCAATGAAATTGAGCTTTAAGATTTTTACGTAATAAAATACAAATAAATATTGATCTATTGCAAACTGAGCCAATTCCGAAGGTATGGAACCGCCGATTAATGAATTGGGTGAGGAAAGTGAAAGTGCATCTCTAGTCTAGTCGTTTTTTATTCAATAAAATTAAAAGCTTATGGGTCTACATAACCGCAACTGTTATTTGAGGAATGTTACTTGACACACGAAAATTTAGCTCGAACTAACCTCTTGAGAGTACGTTTGTCGTTATGAGAACTTTTTCGAGACCAGCCCTGAATCGATCCAAAACTGCAAGCCTTTGTTCCACCGTTAAATCTCCAGATAGTACAGCAACAGAATGGCCATCCGATGACATCTTTCCTGCCAGCCATCCAGCAGTTTTACGAGTCTAAACAAATTTTATTATTTTCTTCTAAAGTGTTTTTAATTATACATACATGACAGAATATGATAGCCTGACCTATTGTTATTCCGGCATAAATATTTTGAATTGCATTATATTTGTCTTCTTCATTCATACATTTCACAAAATATTGCTTTATATTTTCTAGCGACTCTTGCTCTCTCATAAGTCTAAAACAGTGAAACATAACAATACATATGGTTCACATTGTATACGTTTTCATACATACCGTATAATAGTAGGATCAGGTACTATATGCTGAGCGAAATTCATAACTTCCTTATCGTACGTTGCGGAGAAAAACAACATTTGACATTTCGAAGAAAGTTGTCTATTTAAAAATATAAAATTAGAGAAATTAAATACAATATAAATGAAAGATAAAAAAGAGTTTAGTGAACTAAAATCGTAACAATCTAAGAAGTCTGAATTATCTCGAGATATCTGAAGGTTTAATAAAAACGTAACCACAATGTAGTCAAAGACTTAAATCTCTTTATATCTATTATGTTAACCGGGTAGGTTCACAATTTTAGTGGATGAAAAAATGCCAGATTTTATGGTCTCTATTTTTACATAGATTTTTTCCGATATCGTTATTGGTCCTGGTAAAACGATCTGATGTAGTTATATATTCAGTTACATGGAGAGTAGGCGCAATTATTGTCTGGTTTCGCACATGATAAAAACATTTTGAAATGAATCGGTTTACCAAATAATACGCGATTTTTGTACACATAGACCATAAATAGCAACGAGAAACTTATTTGCATACTTAATAGAAGTATTATTATATTACACTATTTATGAAAAACATAATGTTAAACTTAAGTTTCAGAAATTTTCAAAGATCTTTTATATTTCTGTTAAAAGATTCTTATTATAATTTTCACTGCCAACCAAAAACTCCTAAATCCCAGTGAAGTTTAATGAATGAATGGAAAAATTAAATAATAAGAAAATAATAATATTCTGTATTAGTCTATATCTTTGGTATGAAAATCAGGTTCGCCTCCACGCGGTGCATCCTGGATAACGCTAAATGACCTGCGGCCTTTGGATTTGACCTTTGCTATACACGGACATAGCTTGGACTATTGGATGGATCGGTTTGAAACCTGAGCTAGTCGTGGTATTGTCACCTGAGTATGCAGGGGTGATACCCAGCAGAAATGGCTGACGGGCTAATGCCAGGGCCGACTCCGTCCCGTTAAAACCATGGCAGCTTTCAGAGTATGTTCCCCTTCTGTCATCATTAAGTTGGTGTGGTAGCTGTTTGTTGAGATGAGTCCTTCTTTGCGCTGGTCGGCCCTAACCGCATTGCCTCATAAGGGCGTGCCTCGCCTTGGCCTTGTTACTGAGACAATCTTGGGACCATGGAAGGCGACCCAATTAAATGAATAGCAAACACAACACAACTAAGAACGAGGGAGGAAGCAGGTCGAAGAAGTAGCGTTACGGATGGAGGATGAGGATCCTCTAAATTAAATTCCAGCACTCAAAAGTGGCCTCCGCCGATCTATTGCTTCGTCTAGGACGGGACGAAGTCGACGTTGTCCTTATCCAAGAACCGTGGCTGAGCAGCAGCGGTATCTCTGGTCTAAAGACAAAAGGCCATAAGCTCCCGGCTGCAAGCAGCACAGGTAGAACCAGAGCCTGCTTGTTGATCAGAAACGAACTTAACGTTTTTCTTTTGCCTAATTTCAGCGACGAAGATGTCGTCACTGCTAGACTGGAAGACAGTGCTGGAGAACTCTGGCTTGTCCTGCTGAGGAGGGCTCTGGCAAAGGCCAGGCGCAGAGGAGCCGCAGTCTTAATAGGCTCGAATGCCAATTCAAGGAACACCGTCTGGGGGAGCTCGGACATTAACGCAAGAGGTGAGTCACTTTTTGATTTAATTTGTAGTGTAGACCTTTCTATATGCAATAGGGGAACTGCCCTACCTTAGTGACAGCTAGCAGAGCGGAAGTCCTTGACGTTACCCTTGATTTCGGAATGGAGGGTTGCAGACGACCATTCCTTTATAGATATATTGGTTCTAGCTTGAACGCCTCGCTCCCGGAGCTCAAAACCTATAGAAATTTCAGGAATACCAACTGGGTTCTGTGCTGCAGCAAGCTTCGGGATCTTGGTGATAAACGACCTACTTATAGAACTCGAGTAACAAGGCTGTCACTCGACAGCTGATGATATGGTTCTTATGGTTAAGGGAAAATTCCTACATACCGTCTACGGGCGTACCTAAACGTGGTATCTAACTGGGCGAATAGAAACGGCCTAGCCATCAACCCAAGTATAACCAAAAGGGTTTCATTTACTATCAGTTATAATATCCCAAATGTGCCTCTCCCCTCTTTCGTGGGTTCACGTCTTCAACCTGTTGATAAAGTCAAATACCTAGGGCTTATCCTCGATAGAAAACTTTCCTGGAGGCCAAACATTGAGGAGAGAGTTAAGAAGGCATCGGTCGCCATATATTGTTGCAAAGGGGCTATAGGAAAAAGGTTGGGACTCTCACCTAAGGTGGTGTTCTGGCTCTAGGAAACCGAAGTCAAGCCAATAATGTTCTTTGGTGTGTTCGTCTGGTGGAGGACGCTTGAAAGCTTCACACTGACTAAAAAAGCTCGAGCGGGTCCAAAGAGCGGCGCTCATCGGAAACTCCGGTGCACTGCGGACCACACCAACGTTAACTCTTAATGCTATTTTAAACATAGCACCTGTGGACATTGCCGGTAGGTGCATTGCTGCGAAGTATGCTCTAAGGCTCAGAGCTGCTGGACTAATGAAAAGGTCCGAGCAAGGACACGCCGAAACTCTTTCCTCCTTCAGCTACATTCCGGAAAATTTAGATCACTGCGTCACTGAGGCGGCTCTTTCTCTACTCATATTCCGACGAGAGACATGTGGATGGGAAGAAGCAGCTTTGGATCGAAGCTAGGAGGGGGGGTTTTCTGCAAGGAGCTCTCCGTCAATCTTAGCTTCAGGCGACCGGACCAAAACCGCAAGTGAAATTTATGAGCTTCTGAAAAAGCTTAATATTTCGAAAATTCACTATGTTTTTCCAAAAGTCTGCAGTTGATGATGGAAAGGGAAGTTCCTCGCATGGTTCGAACAAACTGGTCATCTTCTGACAACGTGCTTGAAAAATTCTTTTTTTTTAGATGACAAAATTTTTACTGTTGAAGAAGTTTTTAATAAGCAAAATGTCGCATAATGCCGCTGTAATGGTTAGGTAGGGAGTCTCCTGTAAAGACGTTACACCTTTTCACTTCTGTGAAAAAGAAGTAAAAACGGGGCAAAAGTGTACAGCACGATGCTTTAGAAGGTGCAGTAAAGTAGTTAAGCTATACTCTCTTCAATGTAGAGCATTGAAGAAAGATTCTCCTCCAGCACAAAACAGCAAAATCCACACAGCAGTGGCTTAAAGGCAATATTCCTGGTTTCATAGCTGCAGACGATTGACCGTCTGAAAGTGCAGATTAGAATCCAATGGACTACAGTTTGTGGCCAGAGTTGGAGAACAATAGAAACTATGCGTGTTGCTTTATATCAATGGCCGAAACGTTTGAGAGCTTGTGTGAATGCAAAGGGTGACCACTTCGAATAAAATTTTGTTCATCGGTAATTTAGTATATATGAATATAATGTATTATAGTACAATTATGCACTAATTTAAAATTATTTAAATTTCAAAAATACAAAGCCACTTATTAGAACAAATAATACAATTCAAAACTACACACAAATTAACTACCTACATATATACATATATGTATATATGTATATACGAAAAAGTTTTTTAATGTCACTTACTTATGAATTCGAATACATTGATCGTGGTGGCCTTGGGTTGCAATCATTACGTCTGCTTCGTCGAGAACAAACACCCGTATTTTTTTCAAATCAAAAACACGATATTTTAATCCCCAGTCCAAAATTTTTCCAGGTGTCCCAATTATTATGTGGTCCTTTAATTTGGTGTTTGGAGTAACTTAAATGAAATTAACATTATTGTATATATTTTGCTTTTCTACAAAACTCTATAACCTTCTTCACCACGTACAGCAAATTTTAATTTAATTTCTGGACAAAATTGTGCCATTCGAGCAGCTACCTCACCCGTTTGTATTGCAAGCTCATAAGTAGGCGAAATACAAAGCACCTGCAGATAAAGTAAAATAATATTTAAATTTATTGCGAACATTTTTAGTATCAAATTACCTTACGAGGGAAATGAAATAGACGTAAAAATATTATTTTTTAGTCACATATGTCAACGTATTAATAGACACAATAAAGCTACTGCTGTTTGTTGCATGCATAAGTAATTTTAAACTCCTCAAATATTTTATAGCAAGCAATGACATGAATTCTCAAATCCTTCTGGGTTCAATCATAGTTTAAGGACAAAAATATTGGAATTACTTGAAAAGCTTCCGCTTTTCTGCAACCAAAGGATCTATACTTAAAACTTAAACATTACATTTCACCGACTGATAAGAACTCCAAATTGAAAAGTGATCTTATAGCGGACACTTGAAGGTGTGGAACGAGTAATAATATTAAAGGCATGCAAACCGTATCGATCCATACGGACTTGAAGTTATACTTTGTAAACGGAGGTATATACATATATTTAAAATACATATAAAAGGTCAATTGGAAAGCCCCAACCTGACCAATAGAGGCGCTACTAGAATTAAATTCATATAATTTTAGTTAGCCCTTACCTTCAAAAGACGCGTGTATAAAATTGACAACCGTCAGATCATTACTTTGTGAATTATAGCATTTTGAGTGAAGCAACTTTTGTTATTGTGAAAAAAATTAACGAAATGGATCGACAAAAACATCGAAAAAAAATCCACAAAATCAATTTTAATGACGTAAATTGAAATTGAATAATTGCAGGTACTCTAAAGATATCAACTGATCATATCACATATCATTCATGAATATTTGGGTATGAGAAAGGTCTGTGTAAACTGGATGCCACGCGAGTTCACTTTTGACCAAACAACTAGTTGATGATTCGGAGCAGTGTTTGGAGTTGTTCAAGCGTGATAAACCCAAATTTTTGCGTCCATATGTGGCAATTAATGAAACATGGCTCCATCATTTCACTCCGAAGTCCAATCGACAGTCATCCGAGTGGACTCCACATGATGAACCGGCTCCAAAGCATGGAAAAACGTAACAGTCGGCTGGCAAGGTTATGGCGTCTGTATTTTGGGTCGCGCATGGAATAATTCTTATTAACTACTTTCAAAAAGGAAGAACCATCAACAGCGACTTTACATAGCGTTTTTGGGCCGTTTGAAGGACAAGGCAAAGGACAAATCGTACTACCTACCAAAAAAAACAAATTTTGCTAAAAAAAAAATGTTTTTTACTGTGGTAGGCCGGGGACTTTTCAATTGACCTGTTAATGCTTTCTTGGAATATTTATGCAATGGATATAAGCTATAGTAAGACTAGTTTACTGTAACAGTTTTTCCTGTTTTTATATTGTATAATCAAACTTTTTGTGGAATATTCAAATTCTTTTCATTCACGTTTAAATTTTTTTTAAAAACTATACTAACCGCTCCCTTAAAGTTTTCTCATACAGTGTGAGAATGGGTTGAATCGGATAATAACCACGCCCACCCCAATAAAAAATTTATGTCGAAGACAACTAAAAGTGCTATAACTTTCTAAAGAAAGTCGCTAGAAGCATTAAAGTTTACTGTAAAGATGGTACAGTAAGGATATGAACGTGGCGCTTCCCAAATTAGGTGAAAATTACATCTCGACCAATTTGAATCAAACTCTGCCCCAATATATCCTTAGTGGAATGGCTATCGAACACATTAATTGTCAGGCCCGTTCATTATATCGAATTTTTCGTTAATTCAAGTACCCACCATACGGGGTATGTTTTCCAATAAAAACTAAGAAGGGTATCGGAAAATGGCAGTTTAATAAATTGTTTTATTGAGATCGTCGTTTACTTCGTTGGAATACGCAGATTACATTTGATGGCTCCTTTGTTGATCATATCAACCATTTGATCAGATATCAACCTCATCGAATCATGTATGAAATTTGTTCAACCCATCCATTCAAATTGCCGACTAAGAATTAAAGTCGAAAATATTAAATTAAAATATTAATTTGAAAAGGCTTAAGCATATAATTTAACGTTATTTATGTTTGGAAAAACCGAATTCAGCAATTGAACTTCATTCCTCATTGCCAAAGTATACTCATCTTTTATTTTACTTGTTTCGGTTTTCGTTAAAACGAATATTCTTTATTTCGGAATTTTTATACTGTAGAAACGAAGACAGTGGCAGTTGCTTTTAACTACGCAGTGCGCAAGACGTGCGCTGAAAGCGTGCGCATATATTTATGAAAGCAAAATAAACGATGTCCTTTAATAATAAGTGGTAATTATATTTTTGCTTTGAAAATAATATAAATGGATGTTTGTCCGTTGTTCTTAATTAAAAATGCAACGTTTTTTTTTTGTTACATTAATATTTTTATACAATACCAAAAAAAAAATTATTAATAATTGTGTTGTAAGTTAAAACAGATGCTTTAGAATGTCGCTTCTGATCTCTAGTCAAAAAAATTACATGTGAAAGCAACAACAAAGTTATCGAGTTCAATTTGTAACGAGTAAACGTAGAGGAGGTTAAAGTAAAACCAAGTTTAGTTTTGCGTATTTGATAGTAGATTAGTTTTACTATTGTAAATGGTTCAAATGTCTAATGAAAATACAAATTTCTTTTTTTCTTGTATTTTTAAAACTTAATACTTAAAATAATTATAGGTTGGTTACTGCAACGTTTTAAAACGCTAAAAAAAAAAAAGAATTTCTCCACTAAGAAAGAATTGCACATACGTCAGAAGACATGTTGCACAAGTGCTGCCCGATTGTTTGAGCATCTAGTATAGTTTGTTCGATTAGCTAGAGCAGGCTTTTTCAACCGGTGTGCCGCGTAATTTTTCAAGTGTGCCGCGACGATGCTTAATTGCAGTCATAAAAAAATATTTCGAAAAACATAAGACGCGTAGAGCTTGAGTAACAGAGCGAAGGATACGGAATCCGCCGGCCGGCCGCTGCTTGTCCTTGTTTTGTTTCATTCATTCGTCCACTTGTCGTGCTTTCGCGCAGTCTTGTACTCGTGTCACTTGTTCTTTGTTGGTCTCGCTGCATTATATCAAACTCGCTGTGTTTAGTGTGTGTATATTTGGGTTCTAACGAGACCTTCTACATGGATAAATTCGTAACCCATACGTCAACTGATGATCAACCGTCATCGAGTCAACCCGTCGTTAAAAAACAAAAAGTTATGAATACTAAACGGCAATACCATGAAGACTATTTAAAGTTGGGGTTTACTTGGACAGGAGACAAAGACGAACCAAACCCTTCTCTAGCTGCTAGAGAGTAACGCTTACGAATCGAAAACAGCTATTAATGTATTCAATATAAAGTTTGCGCAAATTTAATTGAAAAAAATTTATTGAACGCATATATTTATTAACGAATTTGATGATATAAAATAAAATTTATATTTTGTCATTGTCGAAATAAGCTAAGAAATATTACTAAGAGATGTGATCAAAGAAAAATGTGAATTTTTATTGTTCGCGGGCTGTGTACATTCGATTATTTATATTTTGTTTTTGTTATAATCAGACACATATGTTTATCATGTGCTTGCATTAGGAGGCAATTTCGAATAGTATTTTTTTTTTTTTGACAACATAAAAGGTTAGACACGTTTTTGGGTGCCCTTCGTTTTTTGACTATTGAAAGAAATGGATCAAAGAATACGTATTAAATTTTGCGTTAAAAATGGAAAAAAGTGATCCAAGGCACTTGAAATATGACATTCGGTGAGCCCACCTTGTCTCAATAAAATGTTTATAAGTGGTAGAAGCCCTTTACAGAAGGCCGAGAAGATGTTGATGTCGATGAGCATCCTGGAGGTGTGACCACGCCAACAAACGAAGAAGACATCGAAACAGTGAGAAAAATTGTTCTTGAAAATCGTCGAATCACTATTAGGGAAGTTGCAGAGGATGTTGGCTCATTCAATTCCATTTTCTTAAATGTTTTGCGCATGAAACGTTAGGCACCGAAGTTTGTTCCGAAATTGCTAAATTCTGAGCAAAAGCAATGTCGCATTAGTATCCCTTAGGAATTGTTGAATGACGTCAACAACGATCCGGGTTTGCTCAACTCGGTCATAACTGTTGACGAAACGTTGGTATATGGTTACGACGTCATAACCATCCCAATGGAAGCTGCCAGATGAGCCAAGACCGAAAGAGCACGCCAAGTTCAATCAAGTGTAACGATTTTGTTCACTGTTTTCTTTGATTACAACAGTGTGGAGCATCATGAGTTCCTGCCAAAAGGTCGTACAGTTAATAGGGAATACTACAAGGAAGTTATGCAACGATTGCGTGAAAAACAAAACCGTAATCATCCCTCAACCACCGTATTCACTAGATTTGGCTCCCTGCGACTTTTTCCTATTCCCAAAATTGAAGAAACCAATGATAAAAAGCGTTTTGCCACAATTGATGAGGTCAAGTCAGAATCGAAGACAAAGCTGATGGTCATAACGAAAAGCGCATTTCAGAAGTGCTTCGAGTATTGGAAAAAGCGTTCGCACAATTGTATTATATCCGAAGAGGATTACTTTGAAGGGGACAAAATAGATATTGATGAATAAATAAGTACTTTTCAAAAAAATTCGAAATTCCCCCCTTTCCTCTGAACACACCTCGTAAATGTCACATTTACTGAAAAAACAATAAATAATTAGAATCAATATTCTCAGCAACGAACTTGCTAATTCTTTCTTTAAACAGCAAGAAGCAAGTAATGGCATACTCCCCTTACCAGTCGCAGCAGGCATTAAGGTCGAGTGTTGGTCACTTGAGGTGACAACCCGCAAGTTAGAAGGTACATTTGCTTCCTGCCACAAAGACCGGTAGCGCAGTCATGCATTGGTGGAATTGGACCACATAACATGATCTTGAGCTGACATTATCCAAGAATAATTACGTACACAAGTAGAATTCGTATACGGGCTGCGGAAGTAGAACTACACGGAAACCATATATCAATAAACACAACAAATAGGAGCAGATAGGTTAAACGTCTAGATAGGATGAAATATCTTACTTATGCTAGCAAAAAATAAAAATAATTAAAATACCCGACCCGAATGTTTATACGAAATAGTTTAAAGTTTTTGTTATTTTGTTTTTTAAGTTATATATACTTATACCTGTGGAAAATCCAATTTGATATCAACCCGACTCAACATTGCTAAAACGAATGCGGCCGTTTTACCGGTTCCAGACTGGCTCTGGGCTATCATATTTTGGGGAGGGTCCGCAAGTAATGTTGGAAGTGCTGTTTCTTGAATTTTGGAAGGTGCATTAAACCCCATAGCGTATATACCTTTTAACAGCTCGGGTTTTCTAAACATAAGAACAATATATATATATATATATATATATATTTAAAAAATTAATGAGATCTTTATTAAAAAAACACCATAATGTCTTAAAATATTCCTACTTTTGATAATTTTGTCTTTCAAAGCAATAGGCGATCAATGCATTCTAAACTAAACGCTTAATATACTGCTATATTTATAGTTTAAACATTTTGGAATCTAAATCGCATGCATACGAAATAATTTACATCAATATGTGGAACCCTTATTACACGTTTAATGCTTTCACGCCGTCAAAAAATATGGTAATTTGGAAGAATATCTAATAGTTTTTAAAGCTACTAAAATCAAAAATTTTGATTGAAAAATGCCGAAATAGATTGCGTTAGATTATCAGTTGCCAATATAAATTGAATCTTACATGAATAAGACTCTTTTATCAGATATATAATTATGAGTGTTCACTTTTATACTTTTAAATTTATTTTTAACAAATATGTATATATTAAACAATTCCTTTTTTAAACAATCTATTAATCAGTAATTCTGAAAACCTGAATTATATACTTATAGATTTTTTTATAAAAAGTAGTTGTCAAATAGGCAACACTTAAAATAACTTACAGGTGTAGCGCTTCAAATGTTTTTACGGAATGCAGTGGAGATTTGGGGTCCTTGCGTTGTACTTCTAAATCCAAAGTAGATTCAACAAGTCCTTTTCGAATTATCTTGAGAAGCAAACTTGTTTCAGCAGCACTATAAAAAAAATTTTAAAATTAATACTTGTATTTGAAAAAAAATAGATGCAAACAAGGATGGAAGGGCTAAATACGGGAGTAGGAGAACATTTTATACTCTCGCAATATGCGAGGCTAAGAGATGATATATTTGTAGGTGTTGGCAAACCTTCATATTAAAAAATACTTCCAATATTCGTTATTTGATGAAACCGTGAATGGATAATTGGTTTCAACATGTTGGTAGGCAACATATTTATATAGGCTTGTCAAAACCTATCTTAGCTTGTATATTGAATTAGAGCCATTGCTAGTTCTTCGTTTTTATACCCTGAACAGGGTTTATTAAGAGTTGATGTAGCCATGTTTGTCTGTCTGCATATATACGAACTAGTCCCTCAGTTTTTATCTGATTTTATGCACCAGTTCTTTCCTCAGTAAGAAGCTGCCCATTTGTCGGAACGGCCGATATCGGACCACTAACAGGATAATTTTTAATTTGACGTAATATCTTTACGAAATTTGGCAATAGTTGTCTAAGGCAGCAATGTAATCTCCGAAGAAATTGTTTAGATCGGATCACTAAAGCATATAGCTGCCATATTAACTGAACGATTAGAGTAAAGTGCTTGCACGGAAAACTTTTTTATTTGACAAGGTATCTTCACGAAATTAGGCATGGATTACTGTCTAAGATAACAATGTAATCTCCGAAGAAATTGTCCAGATGAGATTACTATAGCATACAGCTGCCATACAAACAGAACGATCGGAACTGTCTAAGCAACAATGTAATCTCCGAAGAAATTATTCTGATGAGATTACTATAGCATCCAGCTACTATACAAACTGAACGATCGGAATTAAAGGCTTATATTGAAAACTCTTTCATTTGACAATGTATCTGCACAAAATTATGCATGGATTATTGTCTAAGACAGCAATACAATCTCCGAAGAAATTGTTCAAATCAAATAACTATAGCATATAGCTGTCATACAAACTGAACGATCGGAATCAAATGCTTGTATGGAAAACTTTTTCACTTGACGAGGTATCTTCACGAAATTTGGGATGGGTTATTATTTATGGCAATAATTCAATCTCCGAAGAAATTGTATAGATCGGATGACTGTAGCATATAGCTGCCATATCAACTGATCGAAATAGAGTGCCTGCATGGAAAAGGTATCGAGGTATCTTCACGAAATTAGATCGGAATCAAGTTCTTGTAAGAAACCTTTGTATTTGTGAAGTTAACGTTTTTTCTTGTTTTCATTCATAATAGTACAATTTTTGCCGAAAAAAGTAGTTGGCAATAATGATAAACCATATTTTGACAGATAAAAATGTAAACAAACCAAAATTACAGATTTTTGTGGATGAGCATTGGTTAAAACAAAGACAACGTAGGAATCTTTTTTTTCAGTTTTTTATATTCTACACCCAAAATAACCAAATAAATATATTTGGAGAGTAAACTGGCTGAACGTTGATTTGTCATATATGTACCTTATTTTTAGCAAATGTTTTCTATAGAAATATTGTTTTAGGAAATTGTTTACAATTATTGATAGTTATCTATACACCGAAAATATTTAATATTATATTTCTACCACTAATTATCTCAATTAAAAATAAACAAAGATTAATTTCTTAACGCAATAGATTGTACAATATTTTTGGTCAGTTCGTCTTTAGCGAATATAAACAAAATGGATGGTTTGCCAACGCGAGAACATAAAGTTGTCCGTTAGATAAGCCAACAACTATTAGCCACAAACAGACAACATTTGTTGTCCGATTAATTGATCGGTATTGCAAATGCCGATATAATTGGAAATTGAGTGCATTTCAATTCAATTGACACATCATTGGCAGCTATACATTTTTTCGTCGGAACTTGCCATTCAAACTGGTGGCTTCAATAATGTTTTCCATTAATTTTTTTAAGACTAACCTTGTGCCATTGTAAAGATGTAGTGGGTTCAAATTATGAGGCAAAATAACGCATGCCCAGCATATCCAATGAATTCAAAAAGTCGATTGGATAATTCACAGCTTAGTTGGCGTCAATAGATTTGTATGACACCCAGTCCCTTAGCAACAACTGCTATATCATTGAATTTAATCCTCTGACGTTCACATTATTGTTGCCAAAATCGCTCTTTCAGTCAGCCATTCACGATTTTTATATTATGTGTGTACATTGGGAAATATATTGTTAAGTATTTTGTGCATTGATGATTGTGCAGAAATCAGTTGGTAATTTTCTGCATCCAATATTTTCATGGACAAAAAATTTTCTATTGCCAATATCTAACAGTTGTTTTGCGAAAATTTCGACATTGTCTTCATGAAAAAATTTTTCATCCAGCTGATCCAAAAGGCTGGAATATATTCATAGATGATTGTTTTACCGTTCTGCAGATAATCAATCAACCAAATTCCTTTTGCATCCCAAAAAAGTGATGCCATAACCATCTTTCCTTTGTTGGTAGATCCAAGTCTCATACATAGTTATAAAACGAAACAAGAATTCAGTTTTATTCTGCTTAAAACGCTCCAAATTATGCTGTTATTATTTTTGGTCGACCTTCGCGTGGAAATTTGATGATTATGTACCTAGTATTATAACGGTACGTTAAAAAGACGTACTCATCTTTGTTTATCTTCGACATCCTTTTAATCTTTTAAAAGAAGATTAGTCATTTCGACGTATCGGTATCTTTTCAGTGGTATAAAATAGCGTTATCATTCTAAGGTTAACGTTACAAATGTATGTACATATTTGTATGTCACAGATGTAAACAAATGTACTAAATATTACATATATGTTGACAATAAAAAAAGTACATACTGTGGCAAACATGAATGCCAGAACAAAATAGAATAGAGGATAAATTGCTAAAATCAACTTCACAGCGAAATTTGTAGTTGCTAGAATGTTCGAGTGGCGAAGTTTTGTTAACAATCTACTATATAAGGTTTGCCGGATTGTGCAGCAGGGACAGTTCTAATTTGAGTGCTGCTTAGTAAAGAGCTATAAGCAATAAGTTGTAATGAGTAATAAATGTAAAGTTTTTTGAATTAGCAATAAAGCTAAGCCATTAAATTGGGACTTTTATTTGACAATACAGTGATCAAACTCAAGAGTGAGTTACAAGGTAGACGACTTATCGAGAAATGAGATAAATAGAAGATTTGAAAATGTCCAAGTTTAACGACCTGTAGTTTTCACAATTAAAAAAGGAGCTGGAGAAATACAGAACAGGAAGCATATCTTCAAAATCGAGTTAGAAAATCGTCGCCAGAAAGCCAATGAGTTTCTGCATGATTTTCTACAGAGATTGAGAGGCTCATTAAGCTTATGCACATAAGTCCATAGAGTTCATCGAGAGTCGGCTCTTCGTTAATTGAATACGAGATAACGCTACATGCTTTGCTGCGTATAGTATGTCCAAATTTGACATTTGCGGAAACTATTTTGTATGCTCTGAAACAGGAAACTGCATCTTTGCTTAGCAATCGAACATTTAAAGCTCATCAAGTGAAATAGAAGATCACACTTGGGTACTACTAGAGAAAGTTGAAAAAAGATGCAGAAAGTTCTGGAAAAATCTACAGAAACGCGTAGGAAAAATTATAGTGTGGTTAATTGCATCAACTGAGGAAAAAGTGGTCAAATCCAATCAATCGTTAGACTACAGCGAGCACAAGTAAGCAGGAATACGAGTAAAACGTTTTTGGAGGTGTATATCACATTCGGTTATTCGATCTGATCTAGTTAATAAAGTAATGCCATTATCTGGGGTTAAGTCGGAGAAGATACTCAAGTTCTCGGAAAAGTAATGTGAGTGATCGTAATTGGAAAAAGTCAGCCGTGGAACACAATTTTATAGTGGCAGATATCGTCGACCAGTAAATCAAGGAATAAAAATTTACATGGAGAACAGGATTATGACCTATACAAATATTGAAGTGCCACTTATATTCGGTTATGATAACAAGTACAAGGTTAGACGCGTGATAATAACAGAGAGCCAGCAGATTCCACCAAAATCAGAAGCAATTATTTGGGCAGAAGTATTGTAGATGGAGACTATGGAACAAACAAGTTGTGGGTTGTTGAAGCCACAGAAAAATCTACACCAAACTTACTTATAGGCAAAACCCTGGCTATGACAAGACATGATAAACGTGTTCTAGTAAGAGTAAGTAATGAGTGCAAGTCACCAATCAAACTTTCCAGAGAATCTATATTAGGGCAGTGTCAAGAGATTGATAATTAGCAAAATATAACTTGAGGAAGATTAAATGGACGAAAACGACATATCGAGCGAAATTAACGCTCATACTAATTACTCATACATATTTGATAAACACGATTGCGAACCAGGAAGAACTAATGTTGTGAAACATTTTATTAACACAGGTGATGCAAAACCAATTCGCCAGGCTCCTCGAAGCGTTCCACCAACAAAAAGTAAAGTTGTAAGCCAGAACATACGTGAAATGAGCGAAAGCAGCGTTATCGAACCATCAGCAAGTCAATGAAGTTCACCTGGAGTACTTGTGAAAAAGAAAGATGGGAACATGAGATTTTGTGTTGTCTACAGAAGCTTGAACGATGTAACGAAGAAAAACAGTTATCCATTAACTAGAATCGATGACACTCTGGACCCGTTATCAGGCACAAAATGTTTCTCAACACTTGGTTTGAAAAGTTGTTATTGGCAAGTGGAGGTAAACAATGAAGACACAAAAAAACAGACTTAGACAGATTAACACTGGAATACTTGTTTAGTATACCTCGACGATATCATCGTATTGGGTAAAAGCTTCGACCAACATCTATCTACATACTATACAATTATGTTGTTGTTGTTGTAACGGTTATCTAATCCCCGCTTGGGTGGTAAAGTTCAGTTTAGTTGTCGTCAAAGTCATCTAACGGGAGGCCCAGGAAACGAGCTGTTTGTTGTTGTTGTAACGGGTATCTAGTCCCCGCTTGGATGA